TACTAATTTCTATTACTTTATCCTATAATTTATAGTTTTATATGATATAATTTAATCTAGTTTGATAAATAAATTTAGATTTTATTTATAAGGATATATATTACTGTTTTGTATCATATATATATATATATATATATAGTAAAATACAAACGGACTTCATAATATCAATTCAAACGCAACACACTAATTAAGATTTTTTGTTTCTTGACAATATTAACCCTATTTAATGGATGTTATGGGAAACGATGGAGATGGGATATTGTTTTGTAGTATTTTGTGGGTAGTTGGTAACCGAGCTACCCGACCTCGAGTCGTTCTCAAACGAAGGCGGTTCGGAGCTTTATTCACCACTCAATTGTCCAAATCACACGAAATGAGAAAATAAAAGCTAAACATGTTAATCAATGGGTTGGAGAGTGAATTAATGTTAATCGATGCTCGGAATTGAAAGTAACAAGTAAACGAGAAAATAAAGCAATTAACACTACCGGAGTCTCTATGCCATCACAACCGAACGAACTCAACCAAGAGAAATGAGCAAGTCTTAAGCACTAGGTCACAAACCCTAACCTTCTAACCTAAATGATTAAGCTCTAAATAGAGTCCTAACCCTTAATCTAGATAGGCAAGTAATTAATCCCCACTAAGACAAGCAAGAGTAATGATCAAGTCCAAACATTCCCTCCATCTTCAAGCAAACACTCAAATTCACCTTGATAATCATCATAAGTAAAAACGAGGCAAAAATAAAAGTAATGAGCTTTAAAAGTAAATACCCAATCTTCTATTGCGTGCTAGATGAAAATCGGAGTCAAAGCTCGGAACTTGAACCAAATAAAAGTCGCCGGAAAAGTCGCCGGAAAATGATGACATAACCTCCCAAAGGAGAGAGAAGAGAGAAAACTAAAAAGAAAAGATTAATTCCGAAAGTGGTAAAGTGAGAAATGAAATCTTGATGGCCAAAATACAAAGGGTCAAAAGATATTTATTGTAGAATCTAAGGACACACACTAGGTGCACACACATTTAATAATCTGCAGCTCGCAGGTCTCGAAAACAAGTTCGCAGCGAGTTTTGGAGTGAAAATTAACTGAAAACGGACGTTGGCGGGGCGCGAAATCAAGTTTTCCGCGAGTGTGCCCTGGGAGGTGCGGAGCCTTGAGCTTTGTGGGCCGCGAGAAATGGTTCGCAGCGAGTGTGGGTGTTGGATGTGTTGTGCCTGGCGGGTCGCGAAGGTATCTTCGCAGCGAGTGGGGGTGTTGGAGGTGTCGCGCCTGGCGGGTCGCGAAGGTATCTTCGCAACGAGTGGCGCATGACTAGTGTGTGCGTTCGCGCTGCGCGAAGTTTCGTTCGCAGCGAGTGTCACCAAAGCTGCCCTTGTCCGCGCGTTCGCTGGTCGCGAGTAGCATTTCCCCGCGAGTGCTAGGCCTGGGTCCTTGGGTGCTTGGCTTGTTGCGAAATAAGATTGGCTGCGAGTGCTCAAGCGCACGTCTTGACTCAAGAATAGTTCGGATGGCTCGACCAATTGCTAGGCTATGGTTCGGGATGCTCGGAAATAATTTAGAAAATTACCCGTCTTCCAAATCGTACCAATTGGACCTACACAACACACCAAAATATGCAAGAAAAACAGCCAAAATGCAAAAACACATAATAAAAGTGAAAATATATAAAACACGACAAAATGGACCGGTTGACACAAAAACGAACCTAAAAGCACTAAACTAAAACACATAAAATACACGAAAATAAACACAAAAACACAATAAACAAATATGAAGAGATACTGTGTATCAGATAGAGGGTTCAAAATGGAAAAATATGAACAAAATATCTAAAACAACATTTATTTTATCAATTATCAATTAAAGCCAAAGTGACAAATAATAAAAATAGGAGGGAGTATATATTACTATATATTTTAGTATTACACATGTTAATTGTGCGACTTATATGTGTTATATTATAATAAATTTTCTACCTTATAACATATAACTACATTAAACATAAATATATTAATTGATAAATAATTTTATTTTCTAATTAATTTTAATAAATAATTTTATTATTACTATAAAGATAAATATAATTTATTTATTTTATATATACAATATGGATGTCAAATCGAAGCTCATCAAAAGATGATTAATTTGATATATTATATATGAAAAACCGATAAAAAATATAAAAGTTAGTAACATTTAAAATATATTTGCAATTCAATGGTTATAATAGGAAATAATATTAAAATTTAAATTTATATCCAAGCCTTAACTTCAAAGCATGATTTTTTACCAAATAGGATTCTGAAGCATGAGAGTTTGCCACGCGCATTCTGAAATTATATATAGATGGGAGATAGAGGGTTAAAAATGAAAAAATATGAACAAAATATCTAAAACGACATTTATTTTATCAATGATCAATTAAGCCAAAGTGACAAATAATAAAAATAGTAGGGAATATATATTATTATATATTTTTGTATGACACAAGTTAATTGTGCGACTTCTATGTGTTATATTATAATAAATTTTCTACCTTATAACATATAACTACATTAAACATAAATATATTAATTGATAAATAATTTTATTTTCTAATTAATTTTTAAAATATATTTGCAATTCAATGGTTATAATAAGAAATGATATTAAAATTTAATCAATACATATATTAATTTATATCCAAGCCTAACTCCAAAGCATAATTTTTTGCCAAATAGGATTCTGAAACACGAGAGTTTGCCACAGACTCAGCGTATTCTGAAATTATATATAGAGGGAATTTTTAATTTTTAATACATAATTCTTGTATGAAGCGCCTAAATGTTAAGTAGGTCAAGTTGTTGTACTCTTTAATTTATTTTAAACAAATATATATACTTAATTTTGTATGTAATATCATACTTTTTGTTATGTTATTGTTAGAGTATGACAATTCAGTTTAAAAGTTTACATACTTATTCATATCTTCCACGAAACCAGAAAAACATTCGCCACCTGTTCAATAAATCAGGAAAAAACTGAAAAAGCATGATCGTCTAACCGTTATGTATGCTTGTAACAAGTACTCTTATTGCTTTAATTTATATTTTATACAGTGGCGGATCCAGGTGGAAGCACTGGGGGCACGTGCCCCCCACTAAGCGTGTGTGTATAATGTATGACCAAAAAGTTCAATGTGTGGATACGAAGTATTTTATGTCCATGTGAAATGGCAAAGAAGTCATATATTTGGATCCTAAAACAACAATATTTTATACTCTTTTTCACCGACCATAAGGATTTAGGTAAAGATAATTAGGAGCAAGAATAATTAAATACCAAATATCAAATCAATAAATTGGCCGCTTGTAGTTGGAAATTAAAAATGGTTGTATATAGTACTTTGAAAATTGATGAGCAACACTATAGTCATTAAAAGATGTATATACGATGGTGACTTATTGTGTTCATATATTAACTAAGGCACCATCAAACCCATTAATTAGTGTCATATATCTATATTTGATCACAAATTTCATTATTGACTTGTGATATATATTTTTAAATAAACAAATATATATATATATATATATATATATATACATTGTGGATGTAGTTCAAATGAGAACCAAGTCCTAGCGTGAGAACCGTGAGAACCGCTATTTTTAATTGTATGTAGTGCTATGATTGATTGTATTTAGTGCTATTTTTAATCAGGATGTATTTTATTAAAAATAGCAACTTAGCATTTGTAAAAATGATAGCACCATGTAAGATTAAAAATAGCATCATACACAATTAAAAATAGCATCAAATATGGTTCTCACGGTTCTCACACCAGGTTTTTATTTGAACCACTCCCTATATATTGTTATGTTGGATTTAAAGTATGTGATTTTAAGATGAAAATATGAATATAGATAGTTGTTGATAAAGAATGTTTTAATTGTCCGTTCTAGCCTGTCTAAGTAGCTCAATCAATAATATTTGAGTAATTGGCCCTAATTCAAATATGAAATAATTTTTATGGATGACCAACAACATCAAGCAAAATCATTGTTAGACTATTTGGTAAATTCACCTCATTTTTTATTTTTTTTCTCTAGAAACTTTCATATAAATAAACATATTAATGCTCACATAAGAGTTGTACCAAAATTCAACCAATTCGTTCTTTAATTGTACATTTCAAGTCCAAAGGATTTTGATTTGTGTATTTCAATCAATTATAAGTAGCACTCTAAAATAGAATTGCACATGCAAAGTGGTCAAAATTAAAATTTACATTACAATTATAAATTTAAAATTTATCTATGAATTCATCAAACCAAATTTGACCACGTAATGTTTTGTTCTTATTCGGCGAGCTCTTTTGATTGTTTTACAGTACAAACGCACAAAAATAGTTTCATAATGGATTTTGGACCCTCTCCACATAATAGTGTCTTCCCCTCTCTTATTATCATGGCATTCAAGGAAATAATAATAATAATAATAATAATAATAATAATAATAATAACATCTGGTATGATCTAGAAAGACAGCTGCTTTTTTTTCTTTTTTCAAAACGTAGACTTTCATTAAAATAAAACACATAATTACATACTAGAAACAGCTAAAAAGCCAAATATACAACCACTAGCTGAATCTATAAGGGAGGACTAACCCATATGCATCTCGCCCAGGACAGCCTAGAACCAATCTAACTACAACACATAAACACTAAACACAATCAAAGCTCCCAACAGGAGAATGAACTACCAAAACAAACAACAACACAACACCCAAACGGGCAACCAAAATACATAACAAAACGATACAACTAACCACTATAAAACAAAAACGCACAACAACACAAACAAACAACATATACTACTAAAAAATCCACCCTCCTCGCCAATCGTCCAGCACCCAGGACCTCCGACACCCAAAGACTCCACAGAGGCCAACCTGAAGAAACTACAACCCTCAGCCCAAAAACACACGGGTCGAGAAACTCCCCCTATGGCTAACTCAACCCGGACCGAAGAACTGAAGTCTCCCTTGAGCGACCACCACCGATATATCCGAGAAATCAGAACCAACAGTCCTCTCCACCACTACAATTAGCTTCCGCAGCCCGGGGACCATTGGCACCAATATGCAGGGAGACAGAGAACACGAAGCCCCGACCTCCTCCAACAGCCGCCTCACTCCTGAAACCAGCAACTCACACCACCACCGCCATGGCATCCACACAAAAGGATGAGACCACTCGACATCAGTGACCGCTAGCTCACCAGAGAGGCAGCCGAGACCGGATCCAACAGGGGGACGAGAGCCGAGAACTACCTCCCGAGCCAATCCCACACCCCTTCGCAGATCTAACCACTCCCTTCACCGAGAGCCGGTGACGGCTAGCTAGACCCACACTAGAGCATAAGCTGGCCAAATACCACGCCCCGAAACCCCACCGGCTTCTTCTCACCACAAAACCAGCAGAAGCCCCAAAAGCCCAAATCCAGAGGGGACATCCGCCAGCGGCCACTTCCCGTCTAAGCCCCAAGAGACGGAGGAGGAGAAGAAGAAAAGGCCGGCAGACCCGGACACGCTACCGCGACCCCCACCCCGTCAATAAATAGTTACCATGACCGTCAGCAAGCTTGGCCAAAGCCTAGCCAAATCGACAGAGGTAACAGAACAGCCCGAAGGGTGAGGGCCGCCGGAAGGTTAAGTCTCCACGAAGGTACCGGATCTGCGGCTGAGAGGAGGCTACGAGGAGATCAAAGGAGACGAGCGGCCGGCTACAGTAAAAGGGGAATTAGGGATTTAGAGAGAGAGAACATGAAAAGGACTTCATAACAGAAAGACAACTTTGATAACACTGCTTGTATGGAAGTATTTATTTAAAAGTTCATTTAAGATATAAAAAAGTGACTTTTCAAAAATATTACACTTGAACTTTTTTAAAATGTGCTTGTTGAAAAATTGTTAACTTTTGTAAAAGTTCATTTAAAAATTTTCTTCAATTATATTATAATTTTTAATTGAACTTTTATAGCCAAAATCCAATTTTAAAATTACTTCCAAACAACAACATAAATAAAAGAATTTACCATCATATAAATCTGAAAATATTTAGTTACAATACCATGGACAATAAAATAGCATTAGAAATCATTGTTTTGAGACCCGGACCGGCTCGGTGGGTCGACCCAGGATCCGGTCGACCCGAAACCGGTCCGGGTGGAGTATTTGGACCGGGTAACCTAGGACCCGATCAAACCCGGTCAAAACCCGGCCGACCCGGCAGAGACCCGGCCGACCCGGGGCATTGACCCGGGTTGACCCGGTCCATATATATTTTTTTTATTTTTTTTATTTTCTTTATTTTTTAAAAATAAAAATATGTATATATGTTTATATGGTAAATATTTATCATTAGATACATATTATTAACACTTTAATATACAAATTTTATACACAAAACATTTAATTTTGTTACTTTTATGTATATTTATATAACAGAAATACTTTATATATAATTTTAAAAATTTTAAAATTAATTATCCGGTTCAGCAATTGACCCGGTGACCCGACGGTTGAACCGGTGACCCGGTGACCTGAGGACCTGCCCGGGTCGATCACCGGGCCGAGTTTTTTTTTTACGAAACGATAGAAAATATTATATAACAAAAACGCACAAATGTACAAAGTACACAGCCCATGGCTGAAGAATACAGCCAACAGCTGAATAAAACTGGGAGGACAGGTCTAAAAGACCGCCTAGAGACGACTAGCAACGCTAGAAAGGAAACTCACAATACACAACACCAACGACCTAACTGCGGAACGACCCCAAACGAGGTAATGTGGAACGACCCCCAACGAGGTAATGTGGAACGACTCCAACGGAGTAATCCCTCGCACAGGGGCCAAGTGACCCAAACCTAAAATACAAGACCAGAACAAAGCCAATGCAGACACAAAACACCCTGGCCGGGTTTAAAAACTATGGTTTTACCCCTCTTTTTCTCTCGTCGTTCAGTTTTGTCTACTGAAGCACAACTGTTGTGTGTGAAATGGTTTTTTGTATTTTTTATTTCTTTCACACGTTTGATGGTTGTTTGTAGTTTTAATCTGTGGATCTGAAGCTGGCCTTTTGTTTCTGTTTGATATGGAGAATTTAGTTTAAAGTGAATTGATTAGGGATTCTGAAATTACATGTCATTCAGAAGATTTTTCAGCTCAATTTGGTTTTTTCTTTTTAGTTTTTTCAAATGGGTTATCAATTATGAGAGCTCAGCGTTCACTGGCTCTGTGATGAATTTGTTTTGTTTGATTGAAAGAATGAACATACATTTATGTGCTTCAGTAATGAGTATTCTTTGTTGGTGGGATTACGAGAGGCTCGAGGTCACAATTGAATATGCTTCGTTTTGAATCGTTCGTTGTCACAATTGAATATGCTTCAATCGTTCATTTCTCTTCTTCCGAGAGATGATTGATGAAGAAAATTTGAAGAAAGAAGAGATAATTTCGGGAGCCATCGGATTTGAGATAAAAAAAGGTAATGATGAAATCTGATTCAATACTAAATAGCAAGTGATGGCTGTGATTTCTGGTTAGAAAATTGTATACACGATTAGTAGTATTCGTGTGGTGGAATAGGAGAGTTTGTTTTAACGTAGAAAATCGCGAATGATTTTTGGATTTGATTGCTAGTCAGAAAAAAAAAAAAAAAAAAAAAAATATATATATATATATATACGTTCCACTTAGTTACGCTATCACCCTTATGAGTAATTTCTTTTTATGTTTTTATGAGTGAGATATGTGTGGTGTTTCTTGTCGGGCTCGGTTATTGTTATGTATTTACTTCCTTTCGCTGTGAATACGTGCATTGATTTTGAAGATGGTTTCTTCGTTAGGCTTGGTTGTGTCTTTCTCTCATCGAAATGAAAGTTGGACGATTAGCAAAATCGAGTTGTTTGCATATGTCGAGTTCAACACGAACATTTCATCCATTTGTATTTAAAAAACTCATCGTGGGATTATGTTAGCTGATATATGCTTAAAAACGAGATGCATTTTGAGATACTTTGTTCGCATCTTTTTCTCCTTCGCATCTCTTTATGGCGTACTTTTTTAGAAAGTTCGTCTTACAAGCTTATGTAATCGTCACGTCGGTATTTGGTCTGTAAGAAATTTGAGTGCAAATAAATGAATGTGGGGTTCCATTTGTAACTTATTTGCAATTCTATTGTAATTTTTTATTTTTAGTTCATTTGTAAGAACTGAAAAATATACATCAGTTCGTAGAATTCCCGTGTATTTCAACACCCAATTTTCTAACATCGTCTGGCTTCACGATTGTTTTCATTTCCCTCAAGATTCCTCAATCAAATTTTATTCCTATTATTTTATGGTTGATTGAACATGATTTCTTTTATACCATTTTAGTAGTTTTTGGGCAAGTTGGATGTTAAAACACTGTTAGCCAAACAATTTGTCATGAGAGTTCCATAAGGATGAGTTTGAATGCAATCGGGTATAAATTATTAAAAATTTTCTCGTAAAAACAAAACAAGTTCTAAATCTATATAAATTATTCGAAACATTATAAATTGACATATTGAATTAGGGAGCGCGACAATCGATATATAGAATTACAAATCATCTGCTTGAAAAATGTTGCATTTTATATAGAGAGTATATTGGGATGAATAATCATTTTCTTTTTCTTTTTTAAATACCCAAACTATATATTCATATGTGATATTTATGGCTTGCTATTAGGAAAACTGTTTTTTGAAGTAAAAGATTTTCTCAAACACTTCAGTTTCAATTCTCAGGATCTGTTTTGAACCAATACCAAACTTCCCTATCTTAATTGTTATCAGTTAGGGTTGAATAAGTGTGATTAATGAGCTAAATTAATAAACACTCGATATGAACCTTAATTTTGCATGGTACTTAATGGAGACGGACTTATTAGTTATGATAGGTATGGTAAAGGGAGGTCAAATAATTAATTTTGTAACAAAAAATTTATGAACATTGATTTTGTAAGTACAAAGTATTAGAAATTAGTATTTTTTTTAGAACCAAATATAGTTTGTAGCTGTTTTTCTTATTTTTTCAAATAAATTACGAATTTCCATTTCTATTTTTTTTTTCTTCGGATCATAATTATGAACAATTAACACACAAACGAAAAATCGCATCATATCCAACTTGTTAATTTAATCAATGGATCAACTTTACATTCAAAAAAGTTCATATGTTGTGATTTTTTGAAGAACACACACGAAAAAATTCATTCTAGTCATGTGGCTAATTTAGGGTGTTTGTTAAAGAATATAATCAAACCAAATTAATTCTACTTAACTTTAACTCAATCCCACTATTTTCAATATTATCAATATAATTAAATAATAACAACCAATCATTAAATAATAACAACCAATCATTTTTACACTTCATATCAACTTTAATTCACTATTCATCAATTCACATAATTTTAACTGACCATCACATCATATCATCTCTCTCCTACTTTTACATCAAATTAATTTTAATTATTTTATTTTTAATATTATTTTAATATAAACTCAAGATCCCGTTAACAATTAACTATATCATTTTTTTTAAATTAATCATAGTTAATTTAAAAAAATTCACTTTGAATTAAGGGCAACTTCTCTTAAAATCTCTAATTCTTTTTTCATCTTCCTTCTCAGTCCCCATGCCTTTATTTTTTCATTTCAACTCTCCATCCCTTTAATTTTTTTCTTCCTAACTCCCCAGTGTTAAAATTAAATCAAAAATAAAATTACTTATTACATCACTCCACTACAACCAACCTAACATATTATTTTATTAATTTTCTCTCTCTCCACTACTAACTTTTCTAATTGTTTATTATTTTCCTTTTCTTTCTTTCTCCACATATTTTTTTTTATTATTTTCTTTTTATCATCTTCTACTATTAATCTCTCCTACTACTAATTTTTCTTAATTTTTTTATTAATTAGTATAAATTTATTTTTGTATAAATTGTCAAAATTAAAAAAATTATAATTTACTAATCTTTATTTCATGTAAATTTATATTATACTAAATCTATAAATCTATATTTTATGTCGTTCAAATTTATCAACTAATTTCTAAAATTAAATTATATAATTTAAATTTTATTAAAAATTATTTACTTAAAAATCTATCTAATTTTCAAGATAAATATATATCAACTAGTACGATACAAGTGTCCTACACGGGTACGTAAATATATTGATATTGGTACAATAGAAAAACTAAAATAATTTATTTTTATATTATAAAATTATATATAATGAATATATAAAAATTATGAATAACTAACAAAGTAATAATTAATTCAAAATGGGGCTCGTACTTTTGCACTTAATTTTATTATTTTATTTAAAATCTATGATAAAACGCATTAAAATAATTATTTTATAGTGTATTATTGAATTATATTTTTTTTTTGTTATAAAATAATTATTGCTGTATTAATATTGTTGAAATTACTCTTTTAATAAATATAGTTTTATTTATATTGATAAACGTAATTATTTTTTATTTTATATATGCAATATGGATGTTAAATCGAAGATCATTAAAATATGATTATTTTAAGATACGAAAATAAAATAACAATAAAAAAATTATAAAGGTTTAAAAACAAAAAGAATACATATTTATTATAATAATAATTATATGAATTAAATAAGGAAG